TGTATGTATGTATGTATGTATGTATGTATGTATGTATGTATGTATTTATTTCCACTGACCTGTTCCAAGCACTTGAAAATAAATTTCAGCTGAATGAAAGTTGAGAATCCTGTTAGGAAGAGATGAYAGAAGCTGCATTTCCCTGGATTTATTGTGCTTGTTGGTTTAAAAGCATTTTAGTTGAGCTGCTGTCATAACTCACAGTCTTCCTTGTATTAAGAAGCAGCTCTCTAAAGCCTGCTGGATGATATTTAGTTACTATCTTCAGTGGGGAAATAAAAAAACAAAACAGCCAGAGCTCAAAAGCTCAGCAAGATCGTCAAACTGCAACGCTGCATTTGTGTGCACAAAACAGTGTAGCATCTCAGTCCAGGGYGTTGTTGAATTCTCACAGGAAATTGTGATGGGAAGTGAAGACACAATTAAAAATGATCCACAATTAAACAGAAACATCTATCCCAGACGTGTGWCGAGAAACCTTTGATCTCCTGCTTGTTAATTTCGTCACGCTCAAACAGTTTTGGGGCTCGAACCAACAAGGCAGTGAAAGAATTTGACCGTGTTTCCCCTCCTGGCGAGTCAAAAACCAGAACAGGTTTAAGGGGGTTGCACTTTGTTATCTRGAGGAGATTAAGTGTGCACAAACAGGTGAACAGTGTGTGAAACGGTGAAAGATGATGAGATCACAGTCATTTGATGCGAGTTGGGTCATGTTTTCTCCGGGTTTTCTCTCTGTCCAACCTAACTGGAATATATTTCTATAAAAACTGATTATTAGAACATTTTCACTTATTGTTTAATAAAATATATATATTTTTAACTTTTTATATTTAATGCTGTTTTGAAATAGGACTTTCACAATGAGGACAATTGTATTCAAAGTCTTGGTGGCAACGCCTTCGATTTCTAGTTTTTTAGCTGTAAATCACCACCTTAAATGTGACTGTTTGTATCAAAACCAAATAACCAAAGTGGTGTGGTGGTATGAATGTGTAGCTATTGTAAGTTGAYTATGTTATTACCTGCTTCCAAAAGGTGAAGGTAGCGGGTTGATGTTTTTGCTATGTGTACATGTTTTTGTTAYCTGGGGATGATTTTGACCATTTCCCTGGTGCACACAGCCTTGTGAGGACCCACTGAGGACAAAAGCCCAGTCCCCATGAGTGTAAAGGYTGTTTTTTGTGAGGGGTTAASTTTAGGACTAAGGTGTGAATTGAATTTACATATGTTTAGGGTCAGGTATGTACTGGGGTGGGTTTAGAGTCAGGGGTCAGGGTAAGTATAGAAATGACTGGAAAATGAATTGAGTCAATGCAAAGTTCCCATGAGGATAGAAGAACAAATGTATGTGTGTACTTGTTTCTGCTACAGAACTGCATCGTCATATGTTTTTAGTCAACGAAAGTGAGGACATTTTCCTGGTCCTCACTTTTTTTTTCCAGTTCTTCTGCACTCTTTTAGATTTAGAGGTATGGTGTGAGTTAAGTTCTTGTTAAGGTTAGGGAAAGTGTCTGGGTTAGGTGCAGTTACAAAAAATGAATGGAAGTCAATACAAAGCCCTCAGTTTGATGGAAGTATGAGGATGTGTGTGYATGTGTGTGTACATATTTTTGCTTTTGACCATTTTCCTGGTACACACAACCTGGTGAGGACTCACTGGTTGTGTGTACCACAGCCAGGCTACACACAGGCTACACACACAACACACAGCGTTAGGCTATGGAAATGACCAGTAAATGAATGGAAGTTTATACAAAGTCCTCAGTTTGATGGAAGTATGAGGATGTGTGTGTATGTGTGTGTGTGTACTTGACCATTTTCCTGGTACACACAACCTGGTGAGGACTCACTGTTTCTTTATGGGGACAAAACCCTTGTCCGCAGTGGGGGAGATACTGTTGGTGGGTCAAGGGTTAGGGTTAGGACC